TACAAGTGTAATCATTCGACCCAAAAAATTTCTTCACTTCAATCGATGTCACATTTGATAAAACACATAGATTCTTCCCTCAAAGTCAACTTCAGGGAGAGAATTCTCTTGATGATTAATTTCATAACATCTTTTATCTTAACATTCTTGGAATAGAAAATCCTTCAATACAAACCTTATACTACTATATCTCTTCAAGTATATACAAGAAGGAACAAACTCAACCAAGATCTTCAGCAAGTCCAAGACTTAGAACCGTTATTAGGCGACACTACTCAGCCCACTACCACTCATCTATATCACATCTCTTAATACACCTCATTTCATAATTTTTATTTCATAAAACCTTTCTAACCAACATCAGCACCAATCACACTTCCAATCCACAAACTCTATTTGAGACCCTTGAAAATAAAAATTGGAAGTAAACTATGAGAGAATAAATAAATGATTTAAAAAAAATTATACATGGGAGATCATTGAATTACCAAAAAAAGAAGACGGTAGAATGCAAATGGAATTTCACGGTAAAAAACAATGTACATGGGAGCCTATAAAGGTATAAAGTAAGATTAGTGGCAAAAGTATATATTCAATCATATGTGATTAGTCATTAAAATACTTTTGCGCCGATTGTAAAAATGAATATTATTCACATTATGGTATCTCTAACAACAAATTATGGATAGCCTATATAACAATATGACGTAAAAAAATACATTCTTAAATGGTAATATTGAAGACTAGGTCTATATGAATCCACCACCAAGGTTTAATAGCTTTTTTAAAAGGAATCAGGGATGCAGATTGAAAAAGACTCTATATGGGCTAGAACAATCACCAATAGCTTGATTTGGCAGATTTGTAAAGGCAATGAAAGGAACTTGATACAAAAAGAGTCAAAAAGACCATGATTTCTTCATAAAACACTCTAATGATGATAAAATCTCAATTCTTATTGTGTATGTTGACAATATGATTGTTACAGGAGATGACAATTAAGAATAAGAAACACTCAGAAAAACGCTTGTTGAAGATATTAAAATCAAAGAGTTAGAAAAACACAAATAATTCTTGAGAATATAAATGACTCAATATAAATAAGAGATATTTTTCTCCCAATAAAAATATGTTATGGATATGCTAAAAGAGACCAAGATGACAAAGTGCAAGCCGTGTGAAACTCCAACTAAACCAAGTTAAAAACATGACCTTGATGAAGGAGTTGTTGTAGATACAGGATAATATCAAGGGTTAGTGGAAACATTAATCTACTTATCTTATACTCGTCCTGTCATCGCATTAGCAGTAAGTCTAATTAGTCAACTCATGCACAAACTTAAATATCTCTAATTAGTCAACTCAAGCCTCTTCTAGAATCCTCAAATATCTCAAATCAAATACATGAAAAAGATTTTTATATGAAGGACCTAATACTCTACAAGTTGAAGAATATATAGATGCAGACTATATTGGATCGCCGATAGATAGAGGCCTACTTCAAGGTATTGCACATTTTTAGGAGGAAATCTCATAACTC